GGCAGGGGCCTACTGCCCCCTGTCACAGGCGTGGATTGATCTAGTTAACTCCGTGACAGATTTTGGTGGAGAATGCAGTCATAGCTGCTTTCTAGCTTTTAGAACTAATCTCTCTCTCTCTCTCTCTCTGCTCTTAGAGAGCTTTGTTAGGGAGCATTATCAGTCGTTACAGCTTTTGTGCTGGAAAACTTGGCCTTGAAAGACCAGGTGTACTGCCCTATCCCAAATATCTTTGGGAAAGAATTATTTCCTTCTAGCTTTAGTTAATTTCACAGACAGAATAAGTTATTTGTCAGTAGCTATTGTTTTTTCTGAACTGTTCAAGGTTTCAAAGTGCTCCATAGGGTAGCACTGAGAAAGGTTTGTTTTAAAATAAAAAGTTGTGATGGTGTATTATTATGAAGGTCATGGTAGGAACAAACATACACCTATTTGCCCTTTACAAAGGAATACTGAGCTTATTGGAAAGTTAAAGAAGCTGTTGTGATACAGTGTTGTTGCAGGTACTAGGCCACACTTTCCTCTGCTGATTGTATTGAAAATGAGAACTGTGTTTTATGACAACAGACTGAAATTAATGAGGAGAGAAGCCTTTTTCCTGCTTTTATTTTTTATTTTACCCACGTTCATAGGAATAAGGTTTTGACTGGAAAACCTATTTCTTCCTCAGTGATGCAAGACATTATCTTAAAAGAATAAGGGAACAAAACCCTCAAACTACTACTTTTTAAGAAGATAAGCAGTGAAGAGAATACTCAATATTTAAAAGAGATGCTAAAAGTAGCTCACAGAAGTGCAATTTTAAATATAGTCATATTGAAGTTAATTTCTCTTGCATGGAGGATATTGTCAAAAGCCTACTTGATAGGAAGGCATCAGAAGGAATTAATCCATGCCTGGGCTTGAATTAGAAGTGTTACTCTTCCTGGTCCTCTGTTCTAGTTCTTCTGGTAGCCTTCATCTGTGTTGACAGTAAAACTTCACTAGTGAACAAGGCTGGAACTGTTTTGTGCTGCATAGCTGTGTGGTCTTAGAGCAAGGCAATGTGTTTAATTTGAAGAAGTAATTACAGAAAATATTCTGTTGTTAATGCTTGCTTGCAACACTGCAGTAGCCTTTAGATGTTGCGGATAAGTGGGATGTCACACTGTAGATGGGGAGATGTTGTAAGACTGTTCTGCTTTAACAAGGCAAAAGGAACAACAATGGAACGCCTAAAATGTGACAGACAGCATTGAGATGTTCCCCTTTTTCTTCCTTATCTCTGTGTACAGAGACTTCTGTCTGTCCTTGCATTCCACTGCAATCTTCAGGACATAAGGGTGTTGGAAGTAAACAACTTCCAGTGACAGATAGTGGGCCATCAGGATGCTAGAAGAACTCTAGATGACATTGAAGATCACCAAATAAGGCCGTGTCTGTTAGTCAGTCATTGAAAGTGGATTTGGGAATGTAATGGGTATGTAGTACATGTGAAAATATAACCTATTCACAAATGATCAACTGATGGAGCATTCTTGAAGAGTTATCTAATGCTACCCCAGCACTGCCAATAAAGAATGGCTTGCTTAATTGTAACAAAACTTTGCTGTTAAGTTTCTACACATCGATTTCTTTGAATCACTTTCAAAAGTAGACCTTCAGTTCAGAAAGCCTCTGACAGCTCAGTTGTTGAAATTCAGTACAAAGCGAACTTTAAATGAGAGTTGTGTAACTCTGAAGTAAGCCTTTGGCTAAACCTTAACTTTGGTCTTGGAACTAGTCTGTAGTTTTTGCATGTGTAGTACTACCAGGAAAACAACTGCTTATGGATTAATTTTATTCCAAGTCCAATGCCATCTGCTTGATCTGCCCTTTTCCTGAAGTCGCATAAGCTTCCTTGGCTGTTCCTTTCGGTTAGGAACTTAACTTTGCAAATGCACTGTATGTTGACTTGTAGGACTGAAGAGGAAAAAACTGCACTTATCTTCAAGGTACTTGGCCATTTGTCCTGTAAGCTATTGTACGTTTGGAGGACACCGATTCTAGCTGTCTGTTTCTGGCAAACACAACCGTTGTTTCCCTCCTGTGTGTGCAAACAGCTGATACAGCTTCTGCTTTCCTCACAGGCTCAGACTCTAAATGTTGTCTGGGTGGAACACCGGAAGTTTGTTACTCTATTGCCAGCACGTTCTGGAAGTGCGGATACTTGGATATTTTCTGTGCTTCATCCAAAGTTCAGAAGGAAGCACCAAGGAGTATGGGGTGTTCCTAATTTCCTCAAAAAGTGTGGTGTTAACTTCAGGAGTTGTAAGGTGCTGTGTTAGTCATGAATGGACTCTGAAGCCAGTAGAGAACTGTCATTGTTCATAACTGCTGAAAACATTTTTTCTGGGGAAAGTTGTACACAAAATGACATCCTTCTGTGGACAAGGAAATCTGATACACAGATTGCTTTGCTTACTGAGACAAAAGCTGGCAAACAGTTCTTTTTAGGTTTCATACTGAGTTACACAAACACTGAGACTGGAGAGCTGGAGAGAGAATATTTGACTGTTGATTCTGTTTCAGTTAGTGTATTTGTGTTGGCAACATGATAGCACAACAGTACTGTTCTACTTTATTGCAGCAGTGTGCATTGTCAGCATGCTGACTCAGCATTGTAATCACAAGTTCTAGGAAGCTTAAAACAGATGGAAAGCTGTAGTATTTTTAATGCCTGTGACTTATTTGTCCTCTAGCCATACTTTCTGCTGTACCAATTGGTATCTAAGAAGAAAAGTAGCCCTAAGATGAACACATCTGTTTTTCAGCTCTGCAGGAATGTTGTTCTGTTCGCCTCTGCAGACTACCGGCCTGAATACTGAAGACTTTAGTGAAAGTTTTTTCTTTGTATTCTGACAAGAAAAATCTTAAAGATTTTTAAGATTGCTTAGCTGGTCAGTCAGTGTTTCCAGGTATGTCCCATGGAACAGCTGCCTTCCCGCTGGAGGTCAGAACTAGATTTATTTCAAGACTAACCTTCTTTGGGTTCCGTCTCCAACTGGGTTCTGTCTGATGGTGCAGGTTGCTCTTAGTACTTCCCAGGGGGGCAGCTAACTTGTTCAGGTAGTTTTTGTCAATACAAGTTACAGACCCTGGCTTAGCTGTAATTCCAGCCCAGCCTACAAAGGTGAACAGTTGTGGCATCCTGTTGTAGCATGAAGTGTAACCAGGTTTCCTCTGTGGGCTTCAGTCTTCCTAAATCTAATGAGGAGAATTGTTAGTTGTAGCTGTAACCACTCAAGTCTGTGTGCTCAGTGGTCTCTGTGCATTTGCTTTGAGGAAACTTGCAGTTTGATGTTAAGTAATGCGCAGGATAGGATAGCTGCTCTGAAGGAGGCAGATGCCTATCAAGGCAGTTTTTTTTGGCTTCTGCAACTTGTGACAAGCAGCAAACAATGTAGTTATTGCTCTTGAGATATAAGAGTGTAGCTCTAAAATATTAGGGTCCTTTAACTGGTAAAACTAATTTTTATGAATTTCGATTGTCTTTTTCCTTCTGAAACTGGTAACTGCGTTCTTGGAGGCCGTGTTTTGACTAAGGGTTTTACGTACTTCTGCAGGTACTGTGAATTACTGCTGTTCAGGAGTCAGAGATAGGGGCTTAGTAATGCTGGTAAAAGTGCAAGGAGGACTTGGAACAAATAGAGCATGCAGCAGCATGGTAGTCTGCTCCAGGTGAATTAACAACCTTATTTAGGAAGCTAATGTGAAATGTTTGAGTTTCTGCCTACTGTTTGTTGACTTCAGTAAAATCTCAGCTTTCAGTGTAGATTTAAGTGAGAAACACTTGAGATGGGCTTATCCAGGATAGCATTATGGATGAGACAAAGTTGTTAATAACTTAATATATTGCATTGGGAGATGGTACACTACTGTTCCAGAAAGTGATTCCTGAAAATCTTACTGCCTTCTGCATAATCTGGAGACTCAAATAGTTTCACAAAGTCAAATACTTGTTTCACAGTTGATGCGTGTTCCTAGGTCAGTCTTCTGATAAGAGATTCTAAGCTTCTGTGGCAAGGATTCCAGCTGATCTTGTTCCAGAGACACTCTTGCCAGTGTTGTTTCAGAAGGAATAATGCAGCTGGAGAAGTAGAAAGCTATCAAAGATGTCATTGCGGGAGAGACATGAAAGGTGATTTTTGGTGGGGATGTTAATATAATTTTTGGACTTGCTAGGAGTTAGGAGGTAACAAAATCAAGATAAGATTTAGAAAGTGATGCCCTACCTGATTGCTAGTCTTCCAAGTAGTGTGAAAAGAGTAAGTCACATTTAACTTCTGAACAGTTGTCTAGTATTCATTTTCAAAGACAGGGATGAGAAAATGGGAGAAACTCCAAGACATTACCCATAGCAGCTTCTCAGAGTGTCAGCTCTGTTTTTTGAGTAGCCTGTAGCAAGACCTCATAGTGAACAACTGGCTTTAGTTCTAAAGAATAATGACTCACTGTCTCTTGTGTCCTGGAAAAGGAAGAAAAGTGCAGAGAAGGAATTGACCCTATGGGGTATTGAGTAACAATTATTTACATAATTACCATACTGGATGCTGTAATAAAGGTTTTCAGACTACTAACTGTTTAGTAAATCCAATTGTATTGTTGTTCTCAAATGGTTAAACTACAGTTATTTCTTTACAGGTGCTGTTGATGGAGTGATGAATGGTGTTGTCTATCAGGTAAGATAGAAGTAATCTCTACTTAGAATGTGCTATTCTATTGTGAGAATTTACTTAAATCTAGACTTGCACTCACCATTTCTTCTCTAACATGCTTGTGTGCTGTCTCATGACCTCTTAAAGCTGCTAATGCTCGCAGTATGCTCCTCCTATGAACTTGAGGGCATCTTAAGGCAACAATCTATTTTGAGTTATGGTTGAGTGGGACGTGACCACTGTGAGCAGGTTGACAGGCTCTGTAATATGACGTAACATATACTTGAGACTGGCTAATAAACCGAATGGAACATGTTCTACCTACTTCAGAGTCAAGTTTTCTAAGTTGCTTACTCTTTAAGTATAACTCATGTTGTCTTATCAAAATTGGTCTTACAAGGAACAAATTGACTGAAAATATTATATATTTCTTAGTGATATAAAGTTGCATGACATTACATTGCTGGCATGTGGCTCATTGACGTTATGAAAGCATGTTTGTTGTATTACAATGTTTTGTCTGTCAGGGAAAAACAGAGCATGCTAACACAACTGTTGTTGTATAGCTGAATTTAATACCAGTTTGGATAAGGCATTGCTGATTGTTGAGAGAATTCTTTTGATAGCCCTGTTCAGATAAATACTTAAAAGGGAGCAACATATAAGCTACTTTTCCATAGACATAAGTGAACACTGAGATGGACAGAAACAAACTGCTTTCACTGCTACCATTTTTATATCCTCGCTCTTGCTGTGAGGTTCTTGGGAAAACTTCTTGTTATTGGTTCTGTGTCTCATTATACAATAAAAGGCAGATGAAATACCTTGATTCTAGTAACTGCTTTGTTTGATACATCTTCCACATGATGAAGTATTTAATCTGTTAAGGGCGTAGTGAACCCATGGAAAGAGTTGGACTTGAAGTATGCTCTGTGGCAATGCATTTATCTTTGAAAGTCTAATGTATTAATAACCCTGTGCACTGCAAGTCTTTGAAAAGTTGTATGATAAACTGCAAGTGCTAGTATACCTTTTAAAACTTAAGCAAAAAAACCCAACAATGCGTCTTGTGTTCTAAGCAGCTTATAGCAGTCCCAATTCTATAATGCCTCTAACTGATATTGGAAGTCAACTTCCTTTGAAGCTTGCAAATTTCTCTGAAGCAGACAGATGCAAATTACAGAGAATGCTTCAAGCTTCAATCTCCTGTGCACAAAAAAAAAAATCCTCCAAAAATATACTTTTGTTGCAGATATTTAATGTGAAATTAGCTGGGGGTTTGTAGGTCTACAGTTGAGATTCTATGAACGGTCTTCTGCTTTCTTTGGTCATAGACTTCTGGCCCAGTTTGATTTCCCGGTTAGCTTGAATTTGTTTAATCCCCAGTTCCTAGAGGCAACTTCATATTAGTTTACATCAATCGTGCTGCCCTTTATAGCAAGAGATTTTTCATCATGTGGTACAAATGTGGTATAGCATCAGAAGCATATCACACATTCAGTTCAAATGTCTATTTTTTATGTAGCTTGCAGGTAGCTACTGAAATGTACAGTTTTAATGTATAAATGACGTTTCCTTCTCCCCAAGGAAAGCAATGGTCCAACAGACTGCTATGCTGCCATATCACAAGTAGATCGACTGCAGTCAGAACCAGAGAGCATTCGTAAGTGGAGAGAGGAGCAAAAGGAGCGCCTTGAGCAGCTTGGTAAGGAGAGTGTTGTAGTAGTTGAAACTCAGTTGAAACTTAGTTGAAACTCAGAAGTGGCAGTTTCTTAAGCAGGAGAGCTTTTCAAACAATGACCTCTAGCTCTCTGCAGCAAGCTCAGAGGAGAAGACTTCCAGTAAGCAAACTTTTAATGTTGGTGTAGGAGTTAAGAAGCAAGTGGTTCTCTGAACTTTTTTCCAAGATTACTGAAGTGGCCTGTCTTTAGGTTACCAGTCAGTTTCTCAGTAGCAGAAAATGAACAGCTTTTATCAGCAGAAAAGAATGAGTAAATACAACTGTCAGCACTTTTCTTCAAGGATGTGGATTGCTCATTTTAAGATTGCGGAGGCTACTTGTCATATAGATATTAACCTAATAGTGAAATTAAATAACCAAGTATTAACTGAATTCAGCTATCAAAGGCAGCCACACTTACCTGTGGACAGCTTCTAAGATCCTCTAAACCGATGTGCTTTCCAGTTTCACTACGGAGGAGGCCTTGCTTTGAGATCGTCAGAACAGCCTCTTGAAATATGATTCCAGACAGAGTTAAGTTCCTCTTCTATAATAGTAACAATAGATGAGCTTATCGTGAACGATGAGTTGGGTGTAAAGGCAAACTGAGTATCACATTCCCTTAATTTGTCTAATGTAGAGAGTTTACTGATCTTTATTCTAGAACAGCCATAGCAAGGTGATAATGCTTTAGAATGGTTTGCAGGCTAGCAGACTGACTGTATTATAATTAGTCTACAAATGCTTAGACTAAATTGAACCAGACTGTCTCAGTGCTGTACAGGGACATTCTGTTTAGCTAATCTTCTGAATGTTGAGGGCATTAGAGTTCTCGTGGCCTAAATCAGAAAACCTCAAACTATATTTAAGTGGACTAAGTAATAATTTGCACTAGAGTGCACCCTGAACTATCGTTGAAATGCTTATGAAATCCAATTGGCATAAACATGACTGACATCAATTCTTGAATCTTTAGATGCTAACTCAAGAAAACAGGAAGCAGAATGGAAGGAGAAAGCAATAAAAGAGTTGGAGGAGTGGTATGCCAGACAAGATGAAAAGCTCCAGAAAACAAAAGCTACCAACAGGTAAGATTTCTCCAGCTATCTGAAGAGCTATATTGCTGGCTGTGGAAGTAATTATGCAAAGGAGAGAAGACTAGAATGTCTACTATATCCTTAGTCACTAGTCCTTCAGCCCACTTACTATCCTATTAAGAGATGAGTGTCCAGTTGTAGATTAGTCTGAGTTTCTTTAGATGTTAGCTTAAATGTCCACATGAGAACACTAAAATAAAAAGCCATTCCAGAAGCTTCCTTTAAGACAAAGTTTGAATTTGGACAGAACTGTTCAGTCTGCTTGCTTCTCTGTATGTACCTAGCTGCACAGCTCTTCAGTGACTAATTACCTCGCAGCTAGCGGCCTTACTTGCCAGCACTCAGAAACTTGGAAGTGGTCTCCTAGTTACTCCAAAACAGATTATTTTGTTGGATATCTTAAAACCTTTGGCTGCTTCTTGTGGAAGCTTATGAGAAATAAGCAGCATTCTGTGGGTGAAGAATTAAACACTGACTATTTAACTCATTAAATTCATCATGCTTGAATTGGCTCATTATGGGCTGTGGAGCAGAAACAAGTGACCTAGGCACAATCGAGTAAATCCTTACATTTCTGTAGAAGTTCCCTGCAGAATCTTGAATTCTGGCCACATAAAGGTAAATATGGTAATGCTGACTTAATAACACATAGGTCTTCACTTCGGACCTAAGGCTGCCAGTGTCATTTTCTTTAGGTAGTCATTGGGGCTGCTTTGAACTTCGGGAATCCACTTCAAATTGAAATGATTTTTGAAATGCCATTTTTCCTATCTAAAGAGCTAGTTTATTATAAGTAGTGTTAGTTAGACTTTACTTACTGAATGACAAAAGGAGACTTTATACTTCCTACTGAACTATGGATTTGACACTTTCATTCCCTCAGATGCAGTTTTTCTGTTGGGCTGAAAACAGGATAGCTGCTGTTACAGTAGTGGAAAGAGCTCATTACCCATTTATCTTGGCCAGTGGTTTGAGATCAGGGTATGCATTCTGGAGAAAGGTCAATTTAAAAAGAGCTGCAGTTAGAAAAGTGTTTATCTGAGGGAGTGTTCAGTATTATCACCAACCTGGTGAGATCTCTCTACTTCAAGTAGTCTTTGGTATCTGGAGATGATCTCATGCTAACACTGGGACTAGCCCTAAACTAGGTGGTCCTAATTTTCTATGATATAGGATATATATGATATGATATTTATGTTGCCCCTTGAGTCAGCAGCTTAATTCAATGTGTTCATTTAGTTCAATGTGGCAGCTGCTTCCCTGTTTCAGTGAGTGTAGGTGATACTAGTTAAATTTGCTTTTTAAAACTGCCTTCAGTTGTGTTCTGTACTTCTCATCCTTATCTCTTTTCTCCTGCCTGCTTGCCTGCCTGTTGGACTATTTGCTACCTAGGGTGGCAGATGAAGCTTTCTACAAACAACCCTTCGCTGACGTGATTGGTTATGTGTATGTTGCTTAACTACTAATTCTGTTTGCTAGTCAGCTAGGTAATGAGGAGGGTCTGAAATAGTGCTGAATGTCCGAAGATGTCTTCTGCCGAGTATTTCAGCCAGCATAATAGTAGAATAATAGTAAAAAAAAAAAAAAAAAGTAGAATAGCCTTTTTTTGTCCTGACTCTGATCTGCAGCTTTAAGTGCTGTTTTCCTGTGAAGATCATACCAGCACACAAATTATGTAGAATACATGGCACTGGAATTTTGTCAGTGATTCAGTAGCCTGTAATATGTTGGGCTTCACAGTTTACTGACCTTCCAGGCCAATACAGCAAGATGCTTTGATGCATGTATGGGTTACTGTCAGATGGAGTCTTATGTGGGTGCTGTGTTTAGTCCCAGTCACTTCCATGGTAAAGTATAAAGTATAACTGCATTTTTTGTAATAGGCACTGTGTTCCTGGTCTGTTCCATTTGACTAAATCAGAAAAATATTAGAATGAGGATTGCATATAGTGCAAGAGGAAGAAATCACATGCTTAAATCAAGGGAGAAGAGGTGTCTATAGAATTTAGGATGCTATTAGGGAACGCAGAAAAAAACAAAATGATGGTACTAGAAAGCTAGCATTTTCTGCTGGTGAAAGAGCACCTATGTGTAGATGTGTAGCCAGCCTCACAGATCAGTGAGAAGACAGCCAGGATTTTCAAGCCCCAGTAATTATGCTAGTTTCTGTGGGGTAAAAGGGTTGCAATGTTCCTTGGCTTGTTCATGTATTTTAATTTCTTCCCTTAATTTGTAGACTTGAATTGAAAGATGGCCATGTGACAGATTCTAAGGTGACACCTTTAAAAGGTGTACTGGTGAACCATGGTTTGTCTTTGAGTGCATTTATACTGAAGGTCAAGTGTGGAATTCATTAATTAATTGTAGATGGATGTAAAGCAAGACTTGTGAAATGATGGATTTACAGGTGGTGTTTGACTTTGTTCTGAAGTGTCCTGGAGTTAACTTAGATTTTTTTCCAATAAAATCCTTATTTTCCTGTAGCAAATGTGCAGTGCAAGCGCTGCAGAATAAAATTGGCAGCATGCTTCCTGAATGTAGGCTGAACTGCTAGTGCATGTTGAGCCAGCTGACCATCTGCATTAAACTCATTCTCATTTTCTATATCTGACTTAAACTTTCTCTCGTTTCTTTTCTTCTCTTCACCTTTAAGCACAAACATAAATCATCCTTGCTACAGCCTAGAACAGTTAAGTAAAATCTTCACTGCCCGTTAAAAGTGTCATGTCACATAAAGTAGCAGTGTTGTAGTGATCCTTGTCTTCAGTGGTGTCTGTAACCTTATCATCCCTGTGAACAGTGCTGAACCCTCATGGGGGAGTCATCCTCACTGCTTTTTCTGTACTGCTTGTTGGAGTAGATGGATTTGGTTTGATCTCTCAATGCTTACTGCTCTTTTACTCAGGCAGCTATCAGGGCCTCAGAGTTCCAGTAAATGATACTGGATTGTTACATGTGCATTGAAGCAATGCTGTTGGTAGCACAGAAATGCCAAAAGGATACTGCTGGGAAGCCACTGGTGCTAACCTGTACATATTGTATAAAGCCTCCTTAGAGTATCCTTAGGGTGAGAAGAGGGGAAAACATGTTTATCCTGCTAGCTGACTTCAGATGAGTCATCCTATTTGCCAAGATGTGCTTTAGACTACAGCACCCACAGGCATGGAATTCATTACTTACATTCCTTCTGATTTATGCTGCTTCTGTACAGCATTGGGAAACATCAGCAGATAGTTTTATGATGGCCTGAAGGCCTTGGGACTGATTTAAATCCTCAAATAGAATCTATTCTAAGATAAGATACAGGGAACTGTAAATTTCAAGTTGGCAAGTGTCCAAAGCAAGCCATCAAGTGGCAGAAGCTTAAATATTTAAGACATGGGCATTTTTCCATAAATGTCTACACAGGAGTACCTTACCTTCTGGCAGTTTGGTGACTCCTGTAGGCAAAGACTCAGTGACTACTCTTAAAACCAAACACCTGTATTCCAACATTTTACACAGCGATCTTTTGCACTGCTTGTGCATAGCATACTACTGCAACCTACTTCCATCTCCAGGGCTGGGGCAGTGGGAGCTTAAGTAGCCATAATGTTCACAAGCAGTTGTCAGGTCACATTTCTTACGAAACGTGCTGAAAGGAACTGCATCCTGTAAGTGGGAAGGAGTGCCTTATGTTGGGCATTAACACAAGGTCCATTGCATTGCTTTCAGGGCAGCTGAAGAAGCCTTTGTGAGTGATGCAGAAGACGTTTTTCCAGGCACTGAGTGGGAACGCGTGGCTCAGCTCTGTGACTTTAATCCCAAGTCTAGTAAGCAGGCTAAAGATGTATCCCGCATGCGTTCAGTCCTCATCTCGCTCAAGCAGGCTCCGCTGGTTCGCTGAAGGAAAGCACAATGGAAACACTACAGATGCAATATCTTAACCTTACTCAGAGAAGCTATGTTTGCTGTAATTGGATTAATTGTTTCTATGTTTTCGTTGGACCAAACATGATGTATCTAGAGCTGATCATTGTTTGATTGCATGTTCTTCCTCATGTTGTCTTTGTTTTAAATGAGAGAACCTCCTGAACTGTAGTCTGTGCTATTTGCACTGAGAAGTCACTTCCAGCGTAACTGATATTAAAAATGTGTTAAACTGCAAAATGTGTTGACTCTGGATGAATTGAGAAGTTTTCCTGCACCCTTTTCGCAGGGAGTGTTTAAACCAAATGTTTCTCTGTGCTAGTGAATGACTAGCCAGCAGTATCTCTAGTTTCTTGGAGGCTGTTCTGCTTGTCTCTCTGTAAGCTTTCTTAAAGCTCTTGAGAGCTTTAGTTAGAACTGCTTCCTTATCCAATTTGTTACACAAGACAGAAGCTTTGGGAAACTGGAGCACCAGGCTTGTTAAGGAGCTTATCTTAGTTCTGGTGGAACCAAGGACACTACCTTCTGCAGGTAAGCAATTCTGGGTAGTTTTTTGCTGTGTGACAGGCTCACTCCAGCTATAGGTTTTAGGTTAGAAAAATAATACAAGGGCATTGAGTAGTTACAGACTCCGACATCCATCTGCTTGTTGGGCTGCCTGTTTTGCTATGTAAGTATTCAACACTGGTTTCACATGCAGAGCACTTTTGTATGGAGGCTGTCTGCAGTTGAGCTGCCAAGCAGAGGAAAGGAAAATTTTACTGCTGTTTGTGTATCAACTGGATTGCAGCTCTTTTCCAAGGTGGCTTGAAACAAACTTGTTTGGAGATTTGTTCCTTCCTTGGCTCTTCAGTCTCACCCAGCATTCAGATCAGATTCCAGCTTTGCTCTGGTTGATACAGTAGCTTAGCTAATGTGTAGAATTTCTTAATCTTTTGTGCATGAGCTGAAAGCCTAGCTCAGTTTGGGGAGGATTCCAGATGCTGATTAATGCTCACTGGAGTACAAAGGGAGCCTTCTGTGTGCCAGTTTATGTCCATTGCACCCTGTCTTGGCACTGGGCATTTCTGAGAAGAGTCTGACTGCATCTTCTTTACGCTGTCCCTCCAGCTATTCATACACATCGATAAGATCCCTGATAAGTGGGAACCTCCACTTCTCGAGGCTTAACAGTCTCAGTGCTCTCAGCATTGTAGGAAAGGTGCTCCAAGCTGTCACCTCAGTGCACCAATGTGTCCATGTCTCTCTTGCACTGAGGTGCCTGTAACTAGACAGTGTGTTCTAAGTGGGACATCAGCAGTACTCAGGCTGTCTGAAAACTGTTTTTGTTAGTTATGCCTTATTCAACAGAGCAAAAACATAGTTAACTATCTCTGGGTGAATCTAACTCCTTGTCTGTGCTTCAGAACATGGACTTCTTTTTGGTGAGTATCTGCCATTGTTCTGTGACTTGCTGTGACACTTTTGCACTGTGTCTAGCCAACTGAGCAGACTCAGTCCTCTTCCCACCATTGTTTATTTTTGTAGCAGTAATGTGGCTGATGAAGAAAACAATCAATAGAATCTCAAAAAACATGGATAATTCCCATATTTTAAACAAAATTCCAGGTGTATGCACATGAGACCTTAAGCAGCGTTGAGAGAAGCTGCAGACTACTGAATACATCCTGGAATATGACTGGCTTCATTTAGCCTATGGTCAGGAGGCAGACAGCACCATACTGGCCCAAAATGGTAATGAGTGTAGAGCTGAAGGGGGATGGTGTCAAGGCCATGAGTTCATTAGAGATGGGAGCCTGAGTACTGCCCTGCATCTTTCTGCCTCTGGGAGGAAGCTCTTAGCCAGTGGAACGTAAGTGAAAGTTGTCATTAGCCATGAACCACATTTTTTTTTTTTGTTTTTCTGGGCGGCTGGTCAAGAGGAGAATGCATAGTTTACTGGCAAGTATTTGAGAAGGGACAAGGGATTGTATGTTGGGTTTGACAAGAGGATTTATCAGGTGGTACCTGTTACACAGACAAGCTCGTTCCTCTGCAGAGCAGTGATGCTGCAGCAGCGTGCTGGCACTGGGTGTAGTCCGTGCAAGGCTGTGCAGTCTGCTGATCTTCATTGTGAAAGGTTGTCAATGGAGGCCTTTGTGCTTGACTGGGTATGGGATAGTCCATTTAAATTAGGAGTTGTAGCAATGGTGGCCTGATTGTAAAAGCAAAGCAGGAGTGGTGTGGGGTGTCTCTAAACAAAAAAAATGTAAGCTCTCAAACAGATCCTCTTCAGCTAAAAGTTAAAGATTCATAATGATCTGTGGTTTGCTTACAGTACTGCTGATACCTGTCTGGGACCAGGAGGAGGGCTGCATACACAAAAGCTTCCCTCAGTTATGAAAGTAGCAGAAAATTGGCTGCATTACCCATGTCTTTGCTGCCTTGCTCATTCTGGAAAAGGAGTAAACTTTGTCTGATTTTACACCAAACTGGAGTGTACCATATAGTCAGTGTTTTAGGCATCGTTCTGTTTCCACAGAGCAGAGTAATATGTTTTGTGTGAATTAACTTATGTACCAACCCAAAAGTTCTACAGTTGCGTATGCAAACTTAATCCATGGACTTTGGCTTTCTGTGTCTTCTTCAGAAGCTCATGAGCATCTTCAGCTGTTTTTAAAACACTTACTTACATACTCATAGTGCAAAACATCTGCTTTCGGAGTACAAAGCAAACACAGCTGGGTGCCAGACTAAAACACAGCTGTACTTAATGCATGACATTAGCAAGGACATTTCAGCTGCCAAAGCAGAGGTTTTAGTGCTTCTTTGATGTTACTTGGACTTCCCTGAGGGCTGTACAGCTCCAGCATTTTCCCCTCATTAATGCCTGTGTACTCTCCACTGCATTTGAGAGAGACACAGCGATCAGATTTCACTGAGGCAGGTGACTGAATATGAACTCTTTCTCTGTGCAGTATGATTTGTTTCTGCAATACATCATTGACATTATTTCTACTGGTTGTGCATCCCAATTTTTGACAATTTAAATGGAAGGATCACCAGAAGGCTATGGCATTTGTTGATTTTCACTCTCTGGATAGCAGATCAAATACAGAATAACCACAGAATAACTACACTTGTTGCTCAGGAGACTAAAAAGACATTCCAGACATTGTTGCAGTGCTGAGTAGCTATGTTGCTTGCAAAACAACAGCAGAGATCAGCAGGCAGGTAGCAGGCAGAGCCCAGCTGGCCTTCTCACTGCTCCTGCTCCCAGCTGTCTGCACCTGTGCATAAGTGGTGCTGGAGTGAACCAATTTTTCCTACCAGATGGAGCAATGCAGCATGTGGACTCATCTCATAGAAGTCTTGCAATGATTACATTAATTATAAGGTACAGCACTAAGCCTGCATCAGTTTAAATTATTTTTCAGCCTCTTGGCACTATGCAATTTCAAGTACTGCTGGTGCATGTTAATACTGATGATAAAAATGCATGTCCCAAGGGGTCTCCTGCCATGCTCCTCAGAGCTGTATGCCATTCTGCTCAGAGAGCTGGCTGTGGCATGCTTGGCAACCTTGTTAAAGCTTCAGTACAGTTGTGATACCACGTGCACTTAAAAGACACATTGTAAAACCAGACTTCCATCTCCTCCAACAGGTGGTTTTAGCAGATGGTGCTAGTACAGTAATGGGAAGGCACTGTAATGGGAAGTCTCTGTAATACAGTAATGGGAAGGTCACTGTGAGTCTCACATTTCTTTACAGTCTGAAATTCTGAAGCTAGCTTGGAAAAAGGAAATCCAGCTATTGCCTTGCCTTCCCAGTAATGGATATAAAGGCTATTTGCTGTCAATAGGGCTCATGACTTTCAAGGAGTGGGGTGCTTTAAAGAGTGCAGGGTCAACATCAACTAACCAGACAGCATGGCACTGTAGATGTTCTCCCCTGGCACTGGATAGAACTTGGAGTAGTGTCCATGAAACCTTTGGTTCACAAAGAATTGTCTGAAGTGTGACAGGATTCTGAACATGGGAGGAAGAAATAACAGAAAAAGCAAACAAAAGTCACTACTACACTTTTAAATATGAACATCTTTTTAATTTTATAAACTGACGACTGTCTCAGGAAAACCAAGGGCTTCTGCACCACTTGCCCCTTTGCAGCTGGTTTTTGTCCAGTTGCCAGAAAAAAACAACTTCAGAAACATTTTAATTAATAACTGGTTTTTTTAAAGAGAAAAGACTTTTGATTTATTTTATCAAATGTTTTGAAATGTTTAAATATCTTTCATATTTTGTCAGTGCCTGCCATCTCCCTTCAGCTGCTAAGGAAAAATTTTATCTGAGATGTCAAAAGGGAAACAGCATTAGGAGGTCTGGAAAGCAAAACCTGGTCCCACTTTTTATCAGACATTCCTTGTGATGCTTTGGGGATGGAAAGGTCAAATGATAGATATTCTCTCTGTTAGAGCCTCAGTACTTTTACCCCCACCCTGAGCTGCTGTCAAATATAGATCAAAACGGACTTCTTGACCTGCTCATGGAGCTACTGCTCTGGTATTGAAGTTACTGGAACTCGTCAACTAAATCCAGATGCTAAATGAAAAGGAACACATAAAGCCTGATGCAACTTAGCAAAGGTTAAGAGCCAGTATATCCTTACTATGGAGCAGATAATTCATGAAATGCCAGGATACAAGATTGTTTCTCTGGCAGCTGTCTTCCTTCTGGGATAGCTGACCACTTATATTGTCCTGTTTTTCAGTTTCTTCTTGTGTCAAGTAATTGTCAATACTACAGTATCTTGAAAGCATGCTAAAAAGCAGATCAGTAGAGACAGAACTATGTATCCAATTGGTCTAGTTAAAGAAACCTGCCTTCCTTAAATGTACACACTACACTGTGTGATCTTCGGCCTCTACACAGGTCCCAGAAAAGCCCTCTCTCTCTCAGAATGTTTCCTGTAGAAACTTCCAGAGTGTCATATAAACTGTGTTTTAACAAGGCAACCCTTTAAGGTTAGTTGCTCCAAGGCTAATGAATACCTTGAATGTGTGAGGATGAGGCTCAGATTTAACTTTCCATCCTGTGAGTTGATGGTAAATGTTGGACATCACTGACACTTCACCTGCCGCTCCAGCACTGCTGAGGAGATGCACTATGTCACTGCAGTGAATGAGATTTCTCAAAAGGCAGTCTTTATGCTCATATGTACCACATTATTGGCTGTCAGATAACTGGCCACTGAAGAATAAAGTCCCCTCTGCTAATGTGGAAGACAAAGTTGTGGACAAAGTCCCTTGAGAATACCCATTAAAATGAAATTCAACCTCCACAATAATATTATTTACTGCGGGCTGTAGCCAGAACACAAAGGTGAACCCTGCTACACTTGTCAGTTTGTTTGGACTGCTCTTGCAGCCTGCAAGCTCACAAAACAACCGCCTTTCTCCTTCATATGCAAAGCTTCTAAAATGGGACTCTGCCCTCTAAAGGCGATGTAATAAATAACTGTATCCTCCAAATCCTTCACAAACCACTTCTAAATAGAGCTTCTTTGTTTGCGGAGGCACCTTCCGTTGTTTCCACTTACAGAAACTAACACCTGCTGTTGGTGATTGTATCATATTTACTTTGTGGGTGGAAACCTGTAAATCGAAAAGCTGGTCACATTGTAGACTTCTCATTTCACAAAGGTGAAAAATGAGAACTGGATCCCCAAGTATTAGCTATAATTTGACACAAAACACATATTTCCTACTGTACATCAAAATATGCTCATAAATAATTCAGCTACACTTAAAGCAACATCTGAGCTTTGAGGTGATTAAAATCAACAGAATTGCACAATAGTTTCTATGAATTTTGATGAAATTTAGAAAAAATACAAAAAGGTAATACCTCAATTAGGAAATGTTGAAGTAGTCACTAACTATTTAGAACATTATTACTCTGATTCTGTAGCTGCTCTGGTCAGAGGAAGATTTTGGGCAAAGTATTCCCTCCACCCATAAGGAATATGAAAGTTCATTTCTGTAATTCTTCCAGGCATCTAGTATATTCTACGGGTAGTATAATCCAGTACCAGGCTAGCAGCTCCAAGAAGAGCAGGATCTGCCAGATTTGAGACCACCACATCCACAGTTTTAACAGAAGACAGAGCCTGTCGATGTATCACATCTTTGACAGCATTAATATAGTGACTGGCCAGGACTCCAGAAAGAATCACGAGAGAGGGATTCATGGTGTGCAGAATGTTCACAACTCCAAGTCCTAATGCTGTACCAGCTGAAAAAAATAAAGTGAAAAGAAATTACATGGAATACTCAAAGCAGTGCAAACACAATTTTTTGAAATAGATCTGATAGCAGCAAATAACTCAGTATTCAGAAGAGTGTTCCAAGTTTTGAGTTCATGTTATCAGACTGTATTAATCTTTCCTTTAAAAGGAAAAAAAGAAGTGCAGTAGTGCATTATTCAATAATATGGATGTGTAAGATCAAGCTGTGTATCGTCACACTTGTACTCTAGAAGAAAACAGCAAAGCATTAGTCTAACTTCTCAGTGCTACAAGGTATGTATGAAGAAAGGCCAATGGCATCCAGGCTTCTATCAGAAACAGTGCAGCCAGCAGGAGCATGTAAGTGATTGGCCCTCTGTACTCAGCACTGGTGAGGCCATGGCTCAAGTACTGAGTTCAGTTTTGGGCCCCTCACTGCAAGAAAGACACTGAGGCCCTGGAGTGTGTCCAGAGAAGGGCAACAAAGCTGTGAGGGGTGTGGAGCACAGGCTTTATGGAGAGCAGCTCAGAGAGCTGGGATTGTTCAGTCTGGAGAAGAGGAGGCTTAGGAGTGACGTTATTGCTCTCTATAACTGCCTGAAGGAAGGTTGTGGTGATGTGGGGGTCAGGCAAGATTCAGGTTGCATGTTAGGAAATACTTCTCCAAGAGAGCAGCCAGGTGCTGGAATGGGCTGCCCAGGGAGGTGGTGGAGTCACTGTCCCTGGAGGTGTTCAAGAAATGCTTAGATGTGGTAGTGAGGGACTTGGTTTTGTGGGAAATATTGGTGATAGGTGGATGGTTGGATTGGATGATCTTAGAGGGCTTTATCAACCTTAGTGATTCTATGATTCTATGTTTCAAGCTAGTAAAATAGTAAATTATCCCATGTAAACTAATAGGCAAATTGCCTTTGCTTGCTCAAACTAGACATTCATTTGCCTACAGTAAAACGTCTCCCCAGATTCTTCAATACGAAGATCTTGAGACTCACTTCTTTTTTTCATTTAAAACCAAACTGATCTTTTCAGGAACTTTTAATCTTGTTTATTAGAACAAAGAATCTTCAATGCACCTTCTGCTCACATTTCCTCCAACACTTGCATTTAACATTTTAGTAAAGGTAGTAATTATACAGATAGAGGTCCTCAAATCTACATTATATGTTGTAGTGTTAGAGTGTATTACCATATCTGTATCCCCAAAAATTTAATCATGGGAGGGTTGTTCCACCTGTGCCTACCTTCTTACCTGTTCTGAGAATGCTTTCTGCCTTTGTGTTTCCAAGTTTAGCCGCTTGAATGAGATGTGCAGCACTAACAACTTCTTCATTCTTCATTGACATTCCTTCTACTAAAAGCAGATCCTCTGTTTGAAGGGGAGGAGAGAAAGCCAAGAGATAAAAATGGTGATGTATTAACTTAAGAAATGGAGTAAACGGGCAGCTAAGGTTTCTGCATCTCTACTTACATTCTGAAATTTGAGCTATCGGCTCTGCTCTGAATTTAGTGATCACAGTTCAGGGAACTGCTCATAGAAAGAGAGCATCAAATTCAAACGAAGTAATTCACTAATATGATCACCTGCACCAAACCTTCATAAAATCAAATATAAATGTTATCAACCTCAGTCAATAGACTGAGAAACTGTTGCTGAAAGATGAAGCCTGTGAAATTCAACTGCTCACAGAATGCCTGTCGAGCTGCAAAATATACCACATCATTAAAAAGGAGAAACTGAACTCTGCTACATGTTTATTGCACTTTTGAAGCCAGAGGTTCTAAATATGGCTTGACTGCATGCTACCATATCTGAAAAAGAATTGTTTGGTACTAATACAGGCTGTTGCAGCTCCTTCACTGCCTATGCACAGGATCTCCTAGCCAGTTGCCTGTATACCTGTTATTGTCTCCTCCTGGTGGCAGGTCTTTTTTTCAATGTCTCCTTTGAATTTTTTTTTTTTAACTATACTGCAGTTCAGGAATCATTTAAATGTTTTCAAAAATAAAACATATAGATACCGTCATGCAGTTTCTTAGCTTCTCTTTGTAATGCTATTCCAGAGGCATATGCTTCTATACATCCTTGGCTACCACACAGGCACTCTGGTCCATCTAAAGATACTACAATATGCCCAAGCTCAGCAGCACAGAAAGAACTGCCATGGATCAATTCATGTTGATGTATGATTCCACCTCCAATTCCTGCAAAGATACAAAAACAGCCAATAGTAAAAAAGATAAACTGCAGACTTCAAACGCCCCAGTTCAGTAGGACATTGAAATTGGCTTATTCTAATACAGATTGAAAAAAGTATGTGCATCCATGGTCTTCTGTACTGGAGCCCATAAGTGACTGTTATTGGACAAATTTCTCCATATTCAGCACACATACTAAGTAACCTTGTAGCTACCTCCTGTTCTTATGTAACAAAGCCAGAATATATTGCTTGCCATTTTTTCCAAGCTTATTTAAAATCTGTGGATGATATTGGACTACTGTGACAGATCTTTTAAGCTTGTGGGTCACGCTCTTTTTCTCAAAGCTGACACCAGAAGTGACCTTAAAATTTTTTATTTTCAGACGTTTTAATACTACATTTCAACAGCTGTTTAGAATAACTAGTCATGAAGAATACTCTAAACGTTGTGTTAAGTGGTCAAAAGGACTGTATGCTTAAGAAGAACAGTCTACATTTGCACTTGAGATACTATCTGTCTTACTCAGTTCTTATCTACCTATTCTACATATATACTCTGATCTTGTATTTCTGCAGACAGAAGAGAATTAATTAAGATATAGAGCTGAATAAACTAAAACTACTCCAGCTAAAATTGGTCAAATTTTGCTTATTTTAAGAAAATGTCTTGCCAGCAACAGCAGAACTTACATTTATCAAGAAAGATGTACCATGCAAAAGGTTTCATTCGCCTAGATAAAAGTACAAACAGATATAGTAGCACAAGGATTTATGGTTTAAGAAGTTAATATATCAGAGCTTTACAGGTGCTTATCAGGTGTTTATGCTCTTAAAACCAGATAAACCTCTGAGTGATATTTGGTGTTTCAACTTCACTTTTCACTGAGCTATAATATACTCACCTGTACCAGTGATGAGTGTTACAAAATTTTCTATTCCTTTTCCATGACCAAATTTCCTTTCTGCTAAAGCAGCACAGTTTCCATCATTATCCACCCAGACTGGCAAGTGCAGAGCATCAGATATTGGGGTTCTGAGATCTACAGAGCTCCACTCCTGAATGAGTTTTGTGGAGTGAAGTACAATTCCTTCTCGAGGGTTTACTCGTCCACCTGTAGAAATACCTAAGTCCCAGAAGTACAGGAGAGAAAAAGCAGAACTAAGTCAGTTTAAAACCATAAGTAAAAAATCAGTTTTTCTCTGTGCATTGAGAAGTATTATTTCTCCTATCAGTGTTGAAGCAGTAAGGTAAAAAATTCCATGTATTATTGCCAGTTATTGCTACTACTGACATGTAAAGAGAATTGTTACCATTAACCAGTTTTCTCTAGCTGGAGAGGATTCCAAAGCTGATGGACTCTTTCAGGACCTCGGAGGAGCAGGCCACTCTAATATAGATATATCTAGATATAGACACCACAGTTTGGGTATTTTAGCCATCATTCTTGTAAAGACACTATATAATTCTGTAGTTTATCTAAAGATACTCAGAAAATCGTTACCAAAAAAAAAGCTTTCCATGCTAACTCAGCAAGAACTTATTAAAACACACCTTTACTTTTACCATTTCCTATGATAACTAATGAGTAGTACTGACAGTGGCTCTAGGATCAAGTCTAGTCCTTCTAAGTATTTGCAAAACAGAAGAGATCACTTTAGTTTAATATTTTTAGCCTTAAGGAAATAATGATAATTTAGCAAATTAGTTATTCCCATAGAAATTACATGTGTTTCTCTAAAAAGAAATCTTAATTTCAAATAACATCCTGATTCAAACTATGAGACTGAATGAAGCAAGTATGTAAAATAACCAGCTAAGAAATGTATCTTATTCTGTAGCAAAACTTTTCCTTCAGGAGCAACCAAACAGTAACAGCCAGTCACTGAAAGTCAAAGAAAGTGGGCTGACAAGTAAATAGGAATGTAATTCTGGAATAATTAAACAAATAAAAGGAAAGCTTTTTGGGTGGTTAAGTCATGGGTACTGTGCAATGGGTAGTCTGAAAGATGTGAAGTGCAAAACTGACACATCTTACTGACTCTGCGTGCTTAACACTGTTTCAAAAACAATAAACATTCAAAGTTCAAAATTTTTTGAACTTTGATTTGCTAGGTTGGAGGGATATTGTCTGGCTTGAGGAGCGGGTCTGTTAAACAAGGCCGAGTGTAAAGTTCTGCATCTGAGTTGGGGTAATCCCCAAGGTCAGTAAGGACTGGGGGATGAATAGATCAAAAGCAGCCCTGTAGAGAAGGACTTCAGGGGTGCTGATGGATGGAGAACACAATTGTATACTGCCTGCATAAAAAAGTATGGCCAGCACAGTGAAGGAGATGACTTTCTCCCTCTTCTTTTCTCCCATGAGACCTCACACAGAGTAATGTCTCCAGTTCTCAGTCCCCAGCACAAGAAAAACGTGGACCTGTTATATTGCATCCAGAGGAGGGCCACAGAAATGATCAAAGAGGCCTAAAGAACATCTCCCATGAAGACAGGTTGAGAGAGTTGTGGTTGGAGAAAAGAAAAGTTTGGAGAAAACATTTGGAGAAAACACTTAGAGAAGAGAAGGCTCTTTCAATGTACATAGGGAGCTTATAATAAAGACTGCAAGATTTTCTACCAGATCATACTGTGACAGGAAAAAGGCCAATGGTTTTAAACTGAACAAGAGTAGATTTAAATTGAATATAAGGAAGAAAAATTCCATGATGAGGGTGGTGAGACACTGGAATAGGTTCCCAAAAGAAGCAGTGGATGTCCCATCCCTGGGAATGTTAGAGGCCAGGTTGGGCAGGGTACTTTAGCCAACCCAAACTAGTGTACAGTATCTCCACCTATGACAGGGGCATTGGAACTGGATGGTCTTTAAGGGTCCCTTACAAATTAAACCATTCTATGACTCTACTACAGTGTAAGCAAAATGGAACTGAATGAAAAATGTTGCCTTTGACTCTGTTCGCTGCAAAACTGATCTAAGACTGTAACCTTTTTATTCTGCTCCAGTGCAACTGAGAATTCTACAGCACAACCAATCCTGGCCATAAAGAAAGGCTTACAGGTAACAAAGCAAACTGAACTGAGCTGAAGTTGTTTCAAGACCTGTTTCAATACAAAGATTCTGCATGGAATTTCACAATCCACTTCTGTGTACCACGACTTCATATATGTTTAATTCAGGGAACCATTAAAATGTGCCATTCAAATTCAGAAGTATAGAAACCATATAATACAGTACATACAGCAATGTTTTTCAGTAACATGGGTGCCTCTATTGTAAGCTTAACTGTGCTAGAGGTTAGGACTGAGGCACTGTTAAAACTCAGCAGATCATCTTCCTGGCTGTTACAGGCTAGGGCAACTTCAGTATTTATAGTCAGCTTCCCATTTTCATAAAAAGTTAATTTTTTCGGATGTGGTAGGAATGCAGTGTAAGAATTCAAAATACACAGGATCAGTCTGAAAGAAGTGCTTTACATTAGTCAATAGTGATTTTGTTACATGTTGAAATTCTCAGACGAAAAGACAAAAAAGTATTCATTAACTTACCTACTCCCAAAATTCTGCAGTTCAGATTTACTGCCTCCGATGCAGCTTCTACACACATCTTTAGAATTAAATCTAGTCTATCTTCATAAGTTTTAGGGTTGAGCTGGGTATACTTCTTAACTATTTCACCCTAGAAAATAAAAAACATAAATGTTCTCTAAGAAATTTAATTTCTAATGAAATTTCTCTTTAATTTCAACACAGGTCAACTTAAAAATGGAAAGTGTATATATATATATATACTTAATACATCTTAGACTTTGGTGCTACAGAACAGATTGTCTTCTGATTCCTGAGGACTGTGGGACTCAAACTTACAAGAAGAAGGCTTTAAATTCTGTATCTTAGGCCCTACATTCTGCTTCAATTTTCCCTAGCTGAAATAAAATACAGATGGAACATGTGAATTGCATAAGGAAATGTGCTGGAACTGTTGTTAGGAATAAACTGTGATAAAGCAGTACACTTCAGCTCAACTCTTAAGTGTTAAGAAAATTAATAATAATTGCTTAAAAAAAAGACAGAATCCACTGCACTTAAGAATGAGATGCTTCTGCTCTGACCATGTAGAAATCTGAATGGCGTTGCTAGCAGTAGCTAGTATTTTGTTGCTATACCAGCCAGAGAGAAGTGCTTCAAATTTTAATGTACAACTTACTATCCTTTCAGAAATAACCTTTCTTCTAAGTGGTTATGACTCTGAGTCACTGGAAGTATTTCTGGAGTGCATCTACTGTGACATCTGATGTATGTGGGAGGGAGGATGCAGGAGGAAGGGATTATTTTTAAAACCTGCGAGTCATGCGCTGGTAGTAAAAAAATTAATTATGCACATCTGAATCTGTGGTACAAAAGAACTAACCTTAATGTAATGACTATATTGCAGGACAAGGCTATGAATATGCATAAGATGCTATTTTCTTTAGCAAACCTGTTCTTTGTGTTATATAATGAGTACTCCACAAAATATGCTTAAGTGAACAGCAGTGTATTTGCACAACTAAGGACAAAGGAATAACAAAGTCAGTCAGTCTATATGCCACACATCTCAAATGTTCTTGCAAAAATAACTAAGAAAATGCCAGAACTTTGATATTTTTGACATTTCACTCCATCAACACCAGCATCGTGCTTTCTGTTGTTGTTATTTTAAATGATGTTTAGTTTCCTCTTCTGGTTTGGAGGGGAAGGCAAAACAGAGGAAGTTATTTGTAAGGCAAGGCTACAGCAAACCTCCAAAGACAGCAGCTTTCAAAAGGAGCACTTCCTGAGTTCTTGAAAACTATTATTTTCTTCCTGAAAACCTCACCTTCATCTCTGCCACTTGCTGTTAAATGCTTAAAACTGTGGTGTAAATTTTATTATGAAGCTTTGAGCATTTTGCTCTGATTTGCTAACATTTTAACTTTCATAAATGCCACCTCAAAACTACACACTGCAGAATAAACAGCATTTTTTCCAATTTAGTTACCTTCATCTTTGTATTGGCAGAAATGGTGGCAACAGTTTGACTGCTAAAAAAAATTATAATTGAAAATGTTTTCTTCCAGACCTAGTAAAAAATAGTAAAAAATCCTTTCATTTTCCACTCTGTAGTTTTAATCCATTGCTATTTCTTCATACACAAGTGGAACTGATTTTTCTCCTTGCAGAAGAGACTTCTACATATCTGAAGGCTTTTTTTACTGTAGTTTTCTCTTCACTGTACTAAACAACTCTAGTGTGTTCAACTCTTCCCTGTTTTCCAGGCCTGTAATTAGTATTTTATTTTTTTCCTGATTCTCTACAAGTGGTCTACACCTCTGTGGTGTTATGTCTTACACAAAATGCTTTTCCATTTAAGATTTGGTGCCACTACTTATCATGCTGCTGTGTAGGAAGATACTAAGATTTTTGATTACTTGCTACCTTTTCTTCTCCAGGTAAAAGAGATGCAAAACTCTGTGTCCTGTGACCACCCACCACCTCCTCTGAGTACACTGCTTTTATAAATACTGGCTGTTACTAAAAGTGGTTCTGTGCATCTGTTACATAGCTGTGTAAGTCAACAGGAAAGTAATGAGACAGGGTATGGAACCTTTCCCTCTTTGCTGACAAACGAAAAGCTGCATGGTGAACTTAGGCAGCTTTTACAGGGAACCAACAAATCAGAAACTTGCCCTGTACTTCTAAGATAGTATGACTTTGAGCAGAAGGTATGCAACTAGGACTGCGCTGCTTCTTTCCACAAGTCTTCTGCATCCTAAGCATATATCCATTCTAGGAAAAGAACCACAAAGCTCCCAGAAGTTTGCAGAATAGCTAAAAGGATAATATTTACCTTCATACTGACAATTGCTACTCGGAGATTAGTTCCACCTAAGTCCACAGCCAAAGCACTCTGTGTCTCTAGAATGTGGTCTATATCTTGAGAGATATTATCTTTGACAGGAGGAAAACAGAATTTCTTTTGCAATGGCTCTTTGAGGTCAATAGATTTAAGGAACTTCAAAATCCTTGGAACAGCATTACCATCACCATATATTTTTGAGCTACAATATGAAAAAAATATATATATCAATTTAAATGGAAGTAACATTGCAATCTTAATTAATTATCTTATGGAAGTATCACTGCAATCTTAATTAAATGACAGAAGGCTGTAATACTGTATTGTTACAAAATTATAATATCACTATTATGACAACGCTACATTTTGAACTACTCAAGTATATTGTGGTAGGTGGTAGATAGAGCACAGTAGCTTGAAGACCACACACAGCAACAGTGTGCAAGCCTGACATTAGCTTCGTTTAGGAATATGGAACATAGGATGGAAAAAAATGGAAAGCTTTTTAACAACAACAACAACAACAAAAAAGAGCAAATAAGAGTTCAATTAAATGCTCCACAGAATAACAATCTAAAATTACAGATACTAAGAATTGAGTTTCTGAACATGCTACATACTCAGACAAGATATACTTATTACAAATATGACAAGTAGTAATAGCAATAAATGGAACGTTCACAGAATCACAATATCATATGAGTTGGAAGGGACTTCAGAGGATTATCTAGTCCAACCCCCTGGTAAAACAGGTTCCCTACTGTAGGTCCCATAGGAAAGTGTCCAGATGGGTTTTGAATATCTCTGAAGAAGAAGACTCCACAACCTCTTTGGGCAACCTGTTCTAGTGCTTTGTCACCCCCACAGTAAATAAGTTCTTCCTTGTCTTTGTATAGAACTTCCTGTATTGCAGTTTTTGTCCACTGCCTCTTGTCCTGTCATTGGGCACTACCAAAAAGAGTCTGGCCCCATCCGACTCCCACATTTCAGATATTTATAAACAATGATGAGATCCCCTCTCAGTCTTCTTTTCTTCAGGCTGAAGAGTCCAAGATCTCTCAGCTTTCCTTAAACGGGAGATGCTCCAGGCCCCTAGTCATCTTTGTGGTCCTCTGCTGGACTCTCTTCAAAAGTTTTGTCTTTTTTTTTTTAACTGAGGAGCCCAGAACTGGACAATACTCCAGATGTAGCCTGACCATGACAGAGTAGAGAAGGATCACCTCCCTCAACCTGTTGGCCACGCTCTCTGTGACACACCCTGGGATACACTATTCTTCTTGGTCATATGAGCATACTGCTAGCTGAACCTGCTATCCACCAGAGCCATTAAGTCCTTCTCAGAGCTGCTTTCCAGCAGGTCAGCTCCTAACCTGCACTGATGCATGCAGTTACTTCTCCCCACGTGCAATACCCTACACTTGCTCTTGTTGAACCTTATAAGATTCCTCTCTGCTCAGTTTACCGGTCTTTCCAGGTCTTCTTGAATTGTAGCACAGTCATCTGGTAGTGTGCCAGCCACTCCTCTCAGCTTCATATCACCAGCAAACTTGCTTAGGGTGAACTCCATCCCTTATCCAGGTCACTAATGATGTTCAGCAAGACTGGGCCCAGTAACGACCCCTGGGGAACATCGTTAGTTACAGGCCTCCAACTGGATTCTGCCACTGACCACAGCTATGTGAGCTCTTTCTGTCAGCGAGTTCTCAATACACCTCACTGTCCTCCACTCATCTATCCCACATTTACTTGACTTCATTACAAGGATGTTGTAGGAGAAAGGTACGCAACATCCACTGCCTTCCCCTCATCTACTCAGATGGTCATGACAGAATAGAAGGCTACCAGATTGATCAAGCATGATTTGCCCTTGGTGAATCCATGTTGACTATGCTTGATAACCTCCCTTTCTTCCACTTGTTTGGAGATGCCATCCAGAATAAACCTTCCCAGGGACTACGTGAGGCTGATGGACCTGTAGTTTTATGGGTCCTCCTTCTTGCCCTTCTGAAGATGTGAGTGACACTGGCTTTCCTCCAGTCCTCAAGCACCTTTCCCATTCCCCATGACCTTTCAAAGATGACAGAAGGTGGTATAGCAGTCACTTCTGCCAGCTCCCTCAGTACCTGTTGGTGCATCCCATCAGGGCCTGTGGATTTGTGTGTATCGAGTTTGCATAGACAATCTTTGACCAGATCCTCATCGACCAAAGGGAAGTCTTCCATTCTCCAGACTTTCTCTCTTATCTCCAGTATCTGGGATTCCTGAGGGGCAGTCTTAGAAGTAAAGACTGAAGCAAGAAAGGCATTTGGTAACTTCCACCTCCTCAGTGCCCTGTTACCAGGACACCCACTTCTGTCAACAGCAACCCACATTTTCCCTGGTCTTCCTTTTGCTGTTCAAATATTTAAAAGAAGTCCTTCTTGTAGTCCTTGACCTCCTTTGCCAGATTTAATTTCAGCCTTAGCCTTCCTTGTTGCATTCCTGCATTCCCTGCCAACGTTCATATATTCCTCCCTCATAGCCAGACCCCTTTTCCACACTGCACAGACCTTCTTCTTCCATTTGAGTTTTTCCATGAGCTTCCTGTTCATTCATGTAGGTCCCCTGCCACCTTCGCAGAATTTCTTTCTCTTAGAGATGCACTGAACCTGAGCTTGAAAGAAGTGCTGCTTGAATGTTAACCAACTCTCTCAGATCTCCTTGCCTCCCAATGCTTTAATTTCTGGGATACCTCCAAATAGGTCCTTGAAGTGGTCAAAACTGGCTCTCCTGAAGTTTAGAGTGGTAATCCTATAATCCTATTTAGTGCCTTTCTTCTTCCACGTAAGGTCTCGAACTTCACTATCTCACGATCACTGCATCCCAGGCTCATTCCAACCATCACATAACCAACCAGCCCTTCCTTCTTTGTGAGAACAAGGTCCAACAGCACACCTCTCCTCATTGGCTCCTCCATGATCTGCCACAAAAAGTTATCTTCATCTCATTGCAGAAACCTCCTGGACTGCGTGTTCCTGGCAGTGTCGATTTTCCTGCAATTATCAAGCTGCTTGAAGTCCCCCATTAGAATCAGCACCTGTGACTGCGAGACTACTTTCAGTTGTCTACAGAAGGCCTCATCAACTTTCTCCTCCTGATCAGGCAGCCTGTAGTAAACATCAACAATGATGTCACCCATATTAGTCTATGCCTTAATTCTCACCCACAAGCTCTCCATTCATCAGTCATCCCTACTTGGACCTCGATATATTCCAGTTTTTCTTTCATATAAAGAGCAACTCCACCACCTCACCTTGCTGGCCTGTCTTTTCTAAAAAGGACATATTCATCCATGACAACATTCCAGTCACGTGAGCTGTCCCACCATGTCTCTGTGACTCCATGACTCTGTGACACCATGACTCTGTGACAGCAGTGAAATCATGACCCTGTGACTGCACATGAATCTGCCTCCTGTTTATTCCCCATGCTGCATTGATATACAGACACTTTAGAGAAGAAAAGGGAGCAGAGGGTGCAGGTATCCCTAGAGGGAAGCAAGAGGATCCCCTGTAGCTATACACATCTGTGAGGCAGCTGGCTTTGTGGCTCCTGTCATGAGACAGAGCTAAAAAACATCTGCCACTATTCTGGTTGGCCTGGTTCATTCCCCAGTTGATTGCAATAGGGTTTTATAGTCTTCTTGGATTCTGCCCATGTTCTGCTTTACTGTGTCCTTCATGTCCATGTGAAAGAGCAACAGGGCATAGTAGTCTGTGCTCTTGACAATCTGTGGTACCCTCTCAGCAATGTCCCGGATCTTGGCTCCTGGGGAGACCTCTCAAGACTCCCATTTACATTAGTTTGCTACATATAAGTCTCATTTTTAAAAACCTCTGTACAAAATAATATCAAACATTTAGTACTCCAGTGAAAAGACTGAGGTCTTTAACAAATACACTCTTGAGTCTTACACATGTAACATCCTGAAGTTTTTAAGAGCTCAGTTGTTTTAGAACTGAGGCTCAGTACTGTAAATATGAAGAGCACTGAATACATCCACAGCCTCTCTGAGAGTTTGCACTCATGACCCTCCATTTATCACACCTGACACCAATCCAGCTACAAAGTAGCGTGTCTTTCAAGCAGATGTCAAAGGTAGACAGGCAGGATGTTCTCTCCCATACTCCGTGTTCCACTATGGAATGAGCTGTCTTCATAATTCTAGTCTAAACTAATACATGAACTTTCTCCTCTTTGCTTTCTGTTGGATGTTAAACTACCAGTTATACCAAAACATCATTAGTAACTTCAGATTAGCACAGTAAAAAGTCTGTGATCAAATACGACAAGTCGCCTCTAAATGCTTTTCTCAACTACTTCAATGCCCCCCCCAGTGTGAAACATACTTACCATGGATACTGCTTACCAAACTGGAGCTGTAGTGCATGCAGAATTTTATCCTGTGTGTCAGCATCACGAACATGAAGAACATTTTCACCTAGATGGTAAAAGTTAACAGAACAGGACAAGTCACCTACTTAAATGAAGTTAGAGGACAAGAACTGCTTTACAAACGAATAAGGAAGTAATCATTTTTAGTTCTTCTGAGCAGGAGACTCCAGCCAAATCAACATTACTCTTCACCTTTCCTGTACCTGCCCTTGCTCCAAATAAAGCAATGGTGACTCCTAGAGTACATTATCATGCCTTACAGAACACATAGGGTAGAGTACTAGTTTTCAACAGAATTCTATAAGTACAATGAAAACCATAGGCAAGTGGTCATTTATGTCAAATCTGCATGACTGAAATACCACAGTACAGTTTAATTCCTAATGTGGTGATGAGTTCCTGTTTTTAAAGTGAAAAATGCATACAAGTGAACATGGAAGTAGCTATAAAGGACAACAATTAGTTGCCTCTCTGCTAACTGAGATGCACTGCAAATGGAGATATATATTTAACTTGTCTACAGATAAATGCCTCATTATCTCATCGCTAACATGCTACAAAAATACAGGAATAGCCAGCAAAGCTTTAAGAGGTCAAAAATTAAGCTGCACTGACACAGCAGTATAGCCTCTGTAAAGCGTTTGTTTTACTTTATTAAGTGAAACAAAAAACCTTCAGAACTACAAAAAAATTGAAGTAGTTATGCAAACACTTACCTGTTTCTCTTCCTGTCTGACGTGTCCCCAAGTTGATAACAGGTGTGCCAAATGCGCCCACTTCTCTGACACCACAACTGCTGTTCCCAATCATACAACCAGCGTGGGCAACTAGCTGAATGAACTGGTCAAATGGGACGTGCTTCACCGCCCGAAAATTGGGATGATGTTCAATGCCCTTCTTCCTCATCACCCGAACCATCTCTTTGCTTCCTACAGAAAAACAAAAGACATGAATAAATGAATAGAGTTCACTGGAAGTCTCAACACACAAAGAAGCTAATAGCAGCCTACTGAATTGTCACCTCTGAGCTGTTTTTGTTCCTTTTCAGGCACATGAACTTAAGTTTAATCCCCAAAATCATTTCAATAAATCTAACAATTTTTCAGTTAGTGAAAGAGATATTACATGTTGTTCCCACATGTAACACAGTTTCCCCTTGTCTTCCTTCCCACACTGAAAAGATGAAACGTCCTTCAGCAATTTGGACAAGAATAAGTTGCAGTGGATGCAAGTCTGACGCTGAGATCATCCAGCTATTTCCATCTGGCTGGACATTCTGGGAAAAAGCACTCTGTATGAACCAATGTATGCTTTACAACTGGTTATCCATCCTTCTGTCGCACAGACATTTTACTCACCTGCATCTACATTGGGGAACAGAACAAGTGTTCTCTTGTTAAAGGAAATGAGCGCATCTAGTGTCAGTTCAAACATCTTTATGGAATGTTTAATATCTGTGGTTACTGGATGTTGCAGAGCAACTATATAATCTCTGGGTTTAACATCTTCGCCTGTTCAAATGGAAAAAAAGAAGAAAAATGTTTTTTGTTTTTCAGTAGCAGAGAGTAGTAAGAGGAGGGAGTGATGTGACAGCTTATTATTTGCCTCTCTAGGTATGACTCATAACTTTTACCTCTGCAAAGCTCCACACACTGTTAACTTTCAGGCCTAGATCTCAATCTTTGCAGGTCTAAACCAGAGCTGAGAGCTGTTCTCACATCTCCCTAAGTCTGTAATAACATGAAAACTCTGAAGCTGCTCTTAACTTTCGCTGACGGCAGCAAGAAAAGAATCTACCTGAAGGGCTGCTTCACAACAGGAGATGAGTAGGTTTGTGATTTGTGATTGTCATTACCACCCATTACTTGGGCTTTCCACCAGCTCTCCATCATCATGCAAAGACTTTATTCCTAAAGCCATACTTGTTTTTGCATATTTATTAAACAGCTGATCTGCTACACAGTCACCTACTAATCTAATAAGATTCCATTTTCCAAGTACTCAGGCTACTGCACCACATAGGAGACTGCTTTGTCAAGCTTTACTAGAAAGCACAAAAAATCAACATCTACAGGAAATACTTCTAAGTAAATCAAAACACCAAAAGTGCTAAGCACATTTGGCCCTGTTACAATACATTCTGCAAAGGAATGTTCAGAATATAAGTTTGCTCCATTCTTTTTACATCAATTCTAAATAGCTCTGATTCTCTTTTGACACATTCTTTACACCATAATGAAAGTGTTCATATAGAAAAAAGTCTACTTTTAAATTGTTCGCATCAGAGAAATTACAAATTTAAGAAGATCTTGGTGGGTTTTTTTTTGTTTGTTTGTTTTTTCCTTGGAAAAGGACTAAATTTTCTGCTAAGACAGATTTGTAGCTTTTCTTACATGCAGAATAAATACAGAATAAGGCCAAATGTAGAAAGAAAGCTATGGTAGATACTGGTAGCAAATACACTCTTTTTCTTTGTTTGTTCTTTCTTTAGAAGAAATAGTTTCATAATAATCTCCAATTAAACCAAAACCCACTACCAACAAGTCTGTCCTTTGTTTCCCATGCATTTCCTAGAATCACTGTGCACCCAATGCACCACAGACCACAGATTAAGAACTCAGTGAGTTTATCTAAAGTAATTTGAAAACCACCAAGAAGTGGATTGCTCACCTAGCCATACGCGTATAACACTCATGTAGTCCTTATTTTTGGCAGAGAGAAGCTTGTCATATGAAGGACAGCCTGCTAACAGGATGCGATCATGGTCTTCACACATGGCTATCAAATGCTGCTCTGCACTCCGTGTGCAGCACACGTGGTAATGGGCCAGTTTGGTTATAGCATGTCTAATAGAGTCGTCAATGGTCCCACTGACTTCCCCACCTTCAATGTGAAGAATGCGAATATTCATCAGGGCTGCAGATGTGGCTAGTGCCAAAGCATCAAATCTGTCACCATGAACTATCATTATGTCAGGTTTCAGGCGGTTCAGGACATCTGGTAACTTCACTAATGCAAGTCCTACTGATTCCACCATGGCTGCCTCATCCTCCCCTCTCACAATAGTGTGCAATCTTGTATGAATATCGAAGTCATCTTGTTCAATCATGCGATAAGTGTTACTGAAGATAAGAGAGAAAGGGTTAGAGGAAATAGAACTTGGATTTACAGCAACACAGCTTGACAAAATAATTGCATACCAGAACACTAGAATAGCTGTACTATGTTTGAACAAAAGCCTGCGTATCAAGTCTCCCTCACTAAGGAAACCGATCTGGGAACACTCTAGTCTATATAAAGATCATCCCTCCTACTCCAATTCCATCAAGTTTTCTGTACACTTTTAATAAAAAGTTTTGCTAAGCATGTTCCAGAACCCCCAGAAACTAAACTCTTTATTCATGTCTTTGCAGGGTCTATTGGAAAATTAATATAGGTCATTTTCTTTTCTGAAAAGATATGCCAGTTCTTCACCAATAAATAGACCTTGCTGGATGAATGTATAAATACAACAGAAAAAAATGCAAAGCTGAACACTTCTGCTTGCTTAAACCTAAGAGAGAAAAAAAAAAAAAAAAAAAGATGTTTTCCCATTTTGTCTTCAACTTATCTGATACATTCACTGTCCTTATCTAAAGGTTACACTTATAAATTAATTTAAATCAGACTGAATAATTAAAAATCCTCTTCAGGTAGCGAAGCAGGACTGGCTTATTTTTCCAGCCTGACCATATGCTAACCTGACAACAGGTTTTTTTGTTTGTTTTTTAAATCAGGTTAGTTTTAAGGTATTGAATTCATATTACCATATTATTGGATGAAAACAATGGCCAGTGCAAAGCAAGAAACAGCACCATAATGAGAATTTGCAGCAGTTACATTTCCTGTCTTAGCAGTCTAATAGATATAATAAAACTTCCCATGACCTCACAAAAAATCACACCTTAACTTATCACATGTCAAAATTGCTAGTTGGGAAGCCCAGAAAGTGCTTTTACCTGAAGATATGCATGACATTTCTAAAAGTTTAACAATGTTTGAATCCTGAGACCATTATGCTAAAACCTTACTTCGACTTGCAAAGTGTCTTCCTAACAGTTTAATTTTCTTAGCCCAGTTTGATAAAGGCATCTGGAGCAAAATCCGGACATAAAGACATAAAGAAGCCCAGAAAAAGTATACACTTTCTTCCTTCTGCCTTCCTCCATTCCCTCAGCAGATAGAAGAATGCTTACCTGGGATATAGGAAGTTCTTACAAAGGAAAGGATCAGAAACAAGACATTCCATCTACCCAGGCAGGTAATGTGACTGCTCACTTACACAGTATTAGGAAGGGGACATTAATCTCTTCTGCCAAATGATATCTAATACCTCTCCTACCTCTACCTCTAGTTACTCATTCTGTAAGAAAGAGATTACCCTATGCTGCTTTCTTCCCCCAAAATCCTGGAGGTGAGAACTAACAGTACTTCCCTGCAATACCAATTATATAAAAACTTAATCCAGTAAGTATGCAAATTACAACTTAGAATGACTGCAAGTTATCTTTTTGCCATGAAAATTAAAAATTGTAACACATTTTCATTTGACAATCACCGGATTCTAAGGTAAGTCTGAATGAACTGAATTTCTCACTTTGTTAGAAACTGCGTTGAAAACCTCAGTTCCAGCACTTACACAAAACTTTCTAAATTTCCAAGACTTAATTGTAAAACAACAACAACAACAACAAAAAGCAATCTTTGAAGAAGCTGAAAATTGAGATAGAATATATCTATAATGTCTGAAAAATGATTTTTAAAATTTTGTTATGTGCTTTCATGATTTCAAGGATTTTGTGATCTAGCATTCATGACTGTACTGCCAACACTTCAGAAACAGAATGAAAATGGAAGAGAGACAAAAATCCACCTTACCCATAATCATCAATCAAGTGGGAACCAAGCACTACGACATCAAGCTCAAAGAACTGTGGTTCTGCCTTAATACCAAACATAATAGGAGCTAATTTTGAATAATCAGCACGGTTGCAAGTAGCAACACAAACACGAAGTTTGTGGTTGTTTCCATTCTTCTCCATGTCTTCTTTTTGTTTCTGTTTTGAAAGATTCTTGAAATACAGTTCCTGAAAAATAAATGAATAAATAGAAACCATTAGTAACAATCTTACAGCAAATAAATGGCACACGTTATGAATAGCATATGTAACTGTAGCCCCTAACTATAGACATATACTGCCTTACCCACTGATGGTAGACAACTGATACTTTACAGTACTTAACATTAAAAGATTTCAGAAAAAAAAAAGTAGGGCTGTTCTTTCCATTTATCCATTTACTCACTATTTTAGTACCTTTTCTTCTATAAGTAATTCACATATTCTATACGAGCAATATTTAAATATTACGAAGTTCAATTGTAACTCTTAAACTCTGGAACACTGGAAAAGGGAGCAGGCAGTGTAGAAAAACTACAAAGCTGTTGTCAACTTGTGCAGGTAGAAAACTGGAATGGCAAAAGCTCAGCTGGAAATCGATTTAGCTACTACAGTCAAAAACAATACAAAATGCTTTTATAAATACATCAACTGCAAAAGGAGGATAAGGGAGAAGCTCCATCCTTTATCAGATGTGAGGGAAGATGATGATAATATTAAGATACTTAATGACTTAATGATTAAGTTATGGTTAAGATACTTAATGACTTAAGCACTGGAATAGGCTCCCGAGGGAGGTGGGTTGAGTCACCATCCCTGGATGTGTTTAAAAACCATTTGGATGTGGTGCTCAGGGACATGATTTGTGGAGGGTTATTTGTTAGGGTAGTATGGTTAGGTCGTGGTTGGACTCAATGATCTTTAAAGTCATTTCCAACCTGAGTCATTCTATGACTTTTTGCCTGCTTTTTTTACAAAGGCCAATTGTTCCCAGGATACACAACTCCTCTGAGTTGAAAGATGGTGACAGGAAACAAGATGAAGCACATACAGTCCAATGGGAAACAATAGGTAACCTATTACATCATTTTAACATTCATAAATTCAAAGGGCTGGATGAAATTCATCCATGGGTACTAAAGGAGGTGGTGGAAGCACTCACCACGCCATTCTCAATAATTTAGTGGCAGTCCTGGCTAACCGGGGAGGTCTCAGTTGACTGGAAGTCAGTGAATGTGATTCCAGTCTAAAAGGAAGGCAGGAAAGAGAGTCGAGGTAGCTACGGGTCTGCCTGTACTCATCTTGGTACTGGGAAGGGTTATGGAGCAGGCCCTCTTGAAAGCTGTCAAACAGCAGACATGGAACAACTGAGAGATCAAATGCAGCCAGCATAGCTTTATGAAAGGCCATGGATGTTGTCTATCTGAATTCTAATAATTCTAAAGTGTTTGACACCATCTCCCACACTATTCACCTGGTGAAACCGGCTACTCATGGCTTGGACAGGGGTACAGTTAGGTGAAATGACTGGATGGTGGGCTCAAAGGGCAAACAGAAGTCAGTCCAGTCGGTGGCTGGTCAGCAGTGATATTCTCCAGGGCTCAGTCTTGGAGCTAATTTTATTTAACACTTTTATTAATGATCTGGAAGAGGGATCGAATGCACCCTCACAAAGTTTGCTGATGATACCAAGTTAGGCAGGCATGCGGATCTGCTTGAGAGTAGGAAGGGTTTTCAGGGGAATCTGGTTAGACTAAGTCAGTGAGCCAAGTCCAACTGTATGACATTCAGCAACACTCAACAACAACAAGGGAGTTAAATCTATCTGGAAACCAATCACTAGTACGGTTTCTCAGAGCTCTCTTTTAGGGGCAGTCCTTTTTAAAGTTTCCATAAATGACTTAGTTGCAGGACTGAAAGGAACACTAAGTGAGTTTGCTGATGATGCTAAATTGGGAAGAACTGTTGATTCCCTCGAGGGTAGAGAGGTCTTGCTGGGAAACGTTGAGTTCTGAGCAAGCACCTGCCACAAGAAGTTTAAGAAGAGCAAGTGCCAGATTCTGCACGCGGGACAGGGCAATCCTGGATGTATGTAGACTGGGACACAAGAGGTTGAAGAGCAGCTCCATGGAAAGGGATCTGGAGGTTCTGATTGATGACAAGTTGAATGTGAGCCAGCAATGGCCCTGGCAGCCCAAAGGGCCAACCATACCCTGGGGTGCAGCAGGCCCAGTGCTGCCATCAGGCGAGGGGATGGGCTGTCCCCTCTGCTCTGCACAGTGCAGCCTCACCTACAGCACTGCACACAGTTTTATGTCTTTCTATGACATTGTGTCAGCATCTATTAGAGAGCATCCAGAGGAGGGCTACAAAGATAGCAAAAGGTCTAGAGGGGAAAATGTATGAAGAGCTGCTGAGGTCCCTCACTGCGCTCAGTGCAGAGCAGAGGCGCTGAGGGGAGCCCTCATGGCGGCTGCAGCTCCTCACAGGGAGCGGAGGGCAGCGCTGAGCTCTGCTCTGTGTGACAGCCACAGGGCCCGAGGGAACGGCATGGAGCTGTGCCAGGGGAGGGAGCTGGGGGTCTGGGAAAGGGTCTGCACCAGAGGGCGGTGGGCATGGAATGGGATGCACAGGGTGTGGGCACAGCCCGAGGAGCAGTCAGGAGTTGGACTTCATGATCCCTGTGGATCCCCTTCTATTTTTGAATGTTAAGCACCAGGTCCTGGTTGTGGGTCAAAACAACCCTACATAGGCTTGAAGAAGAGCAACTGAAAAGCTGCCTGGTAGAAAAGGACCTCAGGGTTCTGGTCAACAGCCAGTGAAATGTGAGCCAACAGTGAGCCCAGGTATCCAAGAACGGCATCTGGGCCTGTATCAGAAACAGAGACCATCAGGAGCAGGGAACTTATTTGCCCTTGCACGCGTGAGATCACACCTCCAATGCTGCATTCAGTTTGGGGCTTCTTTCTGCAAGAAGGATATTAAGTTACAGAGAAATGTTCAGAGAACAGCAGTGAAACTGGTGATTAGAAGAGTTGTGAGAAGTGACTGAGAGACTTGGGCTGCTTAATCTGGAAGAGGCTGAAGTGAGACCTCATCTTTCCCTGACAGTACCTGAAAGGAGGTTGCAGCCAAGAGGGTGTTGGTCTCTCAGATGATAAACATAAGGAAAAAAACCTCATGTTGTGCCAGAGGATTTTTAAAATAGACGTTAGGAAGAATTTCCTCCTTGAGAGTGTGATCAAGCATCAATACAGGCTGCCCAGAGAAGTGCTGCAGTCCCCATCACTGGAGGTATTTAAGAGGCGTGCAGAAGCATGACTAAAGGAGATGGTTCAGCAACCAGATTTGGTAGGTCCGGTTGCTGATTGAACTTTATGATCTTGAAGGTCTTTTCCAATATAAATAATTCCATAATTCTAAACAGTAGAATGACTTTTCCCTATTCAAATGGAACTTTCTAGCTAAGAAAATTATTGGCACATAAGTAAATAAAAAAAAAAAATCTATTTTAAAACTACAGAATGGAACAAACTGCTAAGAGATACATTTACTGACAGGCTCTGTGAACAAAAAAAAAGTTTTTGCTCAAGTCAGTTTATGTATTTGTCAAATACACTTTGGTGAAATACAGTGAGTTAAATATTGACTCCTAATCCCTTTCATACTATGTTGCAGGCCAAAGTACATTGAGATATTAAATAATACAACATTGGGTTAGGTGACAGTAAAACAACAATTTTTGGAGATAATAATGACAATAATCATTAGTTGATCTGGAGTCCATTTTTGATTGTTGTTGTTGTTTATTTTTAAAAAAGGGATCTTAATATATTGACAATTAAAATTCCCCAGGAATTGAATACTTTTTTTTAATCAATCAATCAAACAAACAACAACAACAAAACAAAGCAAACAACATCAGCAGTTAATGTAACGAGACATTTCCTCTAATGGACTCTTCCAACCTGTTAAATAGCTGATTAAACTTTGTAATCGTGTTTAATGTTTACCTATCCCATGTTTACCATTTTACCTTGCTCTTTTCAGTTATTTCAGCACATGAAAAAAAAAAAAAAAAAAAAAAAGTTCAGAAAGAAAGGAAAATCCATTAAAAAATATAGAGGAATCCAATTTACACCTCTTCTTCCCTTTCTCCCCTCAACAGAAACCACTATTTTGGGAGGAGAACATCAGACCGGGTATGTTTTTGTAGTTCTCCTTCTGGGAATAACAGGATTTTAAATAAGTACTATCCTCGGGGTAAGAAATCTAATGCTATCTCAGATTTTTACTGCATTTTAGTGGCAAGTAAACGAGAGCTGACTTTTTCCTGCTTAATGCAGAAGGATTGCTCATCTCTGACACAGATATAGCAGTATCAATCTCTGTACTTATTCAGATAGCTAGGGAAGCTCTTCCCAAGCAGCTGCTGTGTAAACACAACAATAACACTGACTGATTTCATGCTCCTTTAATTTTAGGCATTTCCAGGGCAACAGAATTTTGCTGTGGGGAAAAGAGAGAATTACTTCCACAAGGTCTCAGCCACGACGGAAGGATCAAATTTTGTACTTTCACAGAAGACTCAAGGTCAGATGACAAGCCTAGGGTTCCATGCTGTGCACTGCACACAGATAATGCAAAAGAAATAGGTTTTCAGCTTTGTCACATTCTGACATCAATGTAATTTTCCTTTAGTTGATTCCCTGTTACTGACACTACTGCACAAGTATTCCTCCACGTCCACTTTATAAACAGGAAAAAAAAAAAAAAAACTCACATTTTTTAGTAAATTTTTAAGACAAAGTCCATTAGGCTATTTTAGCATCCTACCCTCATGACACTTGAAAAATTCAACAGTTTTTCCAAGTTCTCCCTATTTTTCATGCATATTAGATTTTGTCACATATAACAACAACAACAAAAATATTTTGCATAATAGTCATGTTAGGACTATCAGAAATCCATCTCAAGTTGTCAGTGATAAAAGATATTTCTAGTTTCCACTTGCAATCCATTAAGGCTCTGTGAAACTATAACTGACACAGTGATTTTTTTTTCCCCTAGTATAACTCCATCAGTCACGAATTACCTTTGAGAATGAAAGAAGAGGGGCAAAAAGCAATGACAGCTGCCATGACAGAGCTCATCAGAAATGGCATTTCTCATTCACCCTTGCAAAACAA